TATATATATATATATATATACATATATATATATATATATATATATATATATATATATATATATATATATGTACATATATATATATATATATATATATATATATATATATATGTATATATATATAAATATATATGTATATATATATATATATATATATATATATATATATATATATACATATATATATATATATATATATATATATATATATATATATATGTATATATATATATATATATATATATGTATGTATGTATGATATATATATATATATATATATATATATATATATATATATATATATATATATATATATATATATATATATATATATATATATATATATATATATATATATATATATGTATATATATATATATATATATATATATATATATATATATATATATATATATATATATATATATATGTATATATATATACACATATATATACATATGTGTATATTTATGTGTCTAAATACATTATAACAATGTATATACACACTCGTGAACAAGAAAGCATTTTTGTATTGAGTTATATCGTTTTAATGTCCGCAAAGTCTTGGCGTACATTAAAACTTGGCCCAAATATCTCTTTTGTCGTAAAATAGACCAGTGATATTTCACTTGTTTATTGTACGATATCCGACAAAACATTGATATACCTTTAAAGACTGATGCATCAGTCTCCATCGATGGAGAACGTGTTGTAACAGAACTACTACCTTTGAATATTTTTAATTATTTTTCCATTAAACAGATTTGCATATACTTAATTTTAATAAAAATTTTAATGATTCAGAAGTTTTATAATTCATAACTCATATCACGATCACATAACATAACATATAAATGCTCATAACACGATCCAGTAATTTTATGAAAAATATGAAGGTCTTGATTTTAAGTATTTTGTATATGCGCGCGCATGGATGTCGGAAGAATAGCCATTTGATTTAGAGTAGTTATTATTCCGGTGTCGGAACAATAACCACAGCCTATCATTGTTGTATATCGAACTTTTCTATGGATAGTGTTCCATCACGTGACGTTAAAATTCGCGGTCGCCATTTTGTATGGCAAATATAATAAACAATGCGAGTGTTTATTAGCATAATGTATTTAATTGCAATTATTTAGATAGCATACCTTATTGTAGATAGATTTTTTAAGATTTTTTTTGGGTAAATTTATGGAGAATTTAATTCTCTATCTCACGATATAATTAATTTATTTTTCCTTAAAATAAAACTCTAAATAAAGTAACTTGTTTTCAAAAGTGTGTTATTAGTAAACTGTACATAATGCACTCTAAAGCATTAAAAAATAAACTTGATTATTTATGTTTTACATTTGTTTTAATATCTTCTACTAAGTATTATAACGCATTATATTATTTTATTATTTTGTAAATTTGCTAACTTATATAACTCAGACACAGTGAACACATTTTAGTTGATTAAGCATGCTAAATAAATTATTTTAAGCATGCTAAATAAATCATTAAATTGTTTTAATATATAAAAATTCTATGTATATAAATAATATGCTGAATTACTTATTAAATTGATTTAGTATCTTCAAAGTATTTAATAATAACAATAATAATTGGCAACAAGTGAAACCACCAACTTAGCAGAATTTTTCATTTTAAAGGCAATCAACACTCGTGCAAAAAACATAAACAAGTCGAGAGGACCCAAATGATTATAATTTTATTAAAATTGTTGAAAATATATGTCTGCCTTTTTGCTGTCATGTCAAGAATATTTTCCATAAAGCATAGACTTTTTATTGACAAATTAACATATCACATGGGTGCTGCTCATAAGTTAAAGTTTAAATTTAAAAGTTTGATCAGAAGTAGTGTTTTTAAAAGGAATCGTTTTTTACATCCAATTCTGCTGCAAATAAAAGTATATGTAGTAAACATAATTGATTGAAAGATCTGCATTAGCTCTAAGAGAATTAGGAAGTAGTAGACAGGAATCAAATTCTAAAGTTTTCTGAAATAATTTATAACATTTCAAGGACTTCTATAAGTAGTACTAGTAAATACCTAATTGATTTGTAAATAATAAAACATTTACAAAGAATACATGTATCCATTCAACCAAGCTATTATCGTATTTAGAAGATCCATTTCAATTCATTGATTAGAGTACAATGAGTTTCTCAGAAAAAATGACTTTGTCATTTAAAGATGTTGTAAGTTGTGTACCTTATGTACAATTAAATATATTATTACTGAAAGTAAAGTGTGTTGGACATGTGCAGTTTTTTTCTGATTTTGTTAAATTTGACGATGGGCTTAAAAGTTTTATTGATTACTGTAAACAACTGGAACTTAATAATGTGTCTCGATAAAGACTTAAAAACACAACCTTGTGTTGATACTATAAGCAAACATGATTCTGAACGTTTTAAGTTATCTGAATTTTTAAGAAATCACTTTTTAAATACACCTTGAAAATATGCTCAAATTGACACAAAAATGGTGTATCAACACATTTAAAAGAATATACATTACAACTTTTTTCAGAATTTTGTACTATACACAGTACAATCTCTCTAATTCGAATTTTGTATGTAAAAATAAGTTTAAATTGAAGAGATTTTTTAATTATAGAAAGTTAATTTATTTTCATTATACATTGTAAAAAAGATAGTTTTCAAACGTGTGTAAAAATATTGTTTTTTTTTTTGCCATAGAAACTACCTTAAATAAATTATTTCATCTTCAACAGCAAAACTATGCCAAGTACTTGTTTTGTTAACGGTTGCTTAAGTAGAGCTGACCGTGACAAGATGTCTTTCCATAGCTTCCAAGATAATAAAACGCTAGAGTTGTCAGCTAAGAGGCGCTGCGAGTGGATTGCAGCAGTTAATAGACAAAAAAAACAAACCAAGTTCTCGAAAATATGCTCTGCTCACTTTAATTCGGGTATGAAATTGATAGAGTTCTGCCATATTACGTTACTTGCAAAGATCTAATTATGTACACTGTTTATGTTTTTAATATATATGCCATATTTATAGGTAAACCAGCTGTATTATATGACGTCACCAGTCCTGACTGGGTTCCTAGTTTATTATTGTCTGCATCAGTAAGGCAACCACAAGATAAAAAGACAGACACCTTTATAAGTTGGTTGACTGAAGTTGTGTTGCGTATCCTAAGTAAAAAATTAGGCTGTTATAAAAGATTGCACTGTCATTTTTCAAAAGTGCATCTTGAATAAGTAAATATTTAATGGAATTTTAAAGTAAATAAAGTGACGCTTTAAGCAAAATTTTAGTCCTCAGTCTCTTATGACAACTTTGTTGCCGACCGTTGAACTTCAACATTGACTTACAGATTTATGCCAATATTCAGATATTCTCGAGCGCAAATTAGAGCTGAAAAAAAGACCATGTATACTGCCGCAGAGGATTTGCTACATTTTGCGGAGGGAGCTGCTAGTGAAACAGTTAGCGAGAATTCAATCAGCGATTTTAATGCAAAACGTAAAATATGCACTTTTTGTTGAAAGGTCCTGTTTATAAAAAGCAAAGTAGTGAAGTCGAATTCCTGACGATTGATGATAGTCTCTCAGCGCAAAATAATGAAAGTGAATTCCTAATGCAAGATTATAGACGAGTTCTAAGTGAGAACATTAAGTTAAAGGAGAAGCTCCTCTCGTTTGAAGTAACAGTTGAGTCATTTACCGATGATGATAAAGTTCTTTATTACACAGGCTTGCCCTGTCGTAAAGTGCTATTAGCTGTGTTTCAGCATGTCGAAGCATATATTTCGTTAACTGCGCGTTCGCGACTATCTAAGTTCCAAAAATTAATTCTTGCGCTAATGAAGCTTCGTCTTGGAACCCTAATACAAGACTTAGCATTTCGATTTGACATTTCCTATTCCGTTGCTTCAAAAACTTTCAAGAATATTTTGCACATACTATATGTTCGTATGAAACCTCTGATTTACTGGCCAGAAAGAAAAGAATTACAACAATCTATGCCATTATCGTACAGACAACACTTTGGGCTTAAGATAGCTGTCATCATAGACTGTTTTGAAATTTTTATTGAAAGACCCTCAAATCTTATCTCTAGAGCGCAGACATGGAGCAACTATAAAAGTCATAACACCGTAAAATATTTGATTGGCATTGTTCCACAAGGCGTTATTTCTTTCATTTCCCAAGGATGGGGTGGGAGAACTAACGACAAGCTTATCACCGAGCAATGTGGACTCATTGAGAAGCTCAACCCTGGGGATGTAGTGCTTGCTGACCGAGGCTTTAAATTAGCCGACTCTGTTGGTCTTATGTGTGCTGAAGTTAAAATTCCAGCATTTACAAAAGGAAAGAAGCAGCTATCAGCTGTTGATGTCGAAAGTACTAGAAAAATTGCCCGATCGAGGGTCAACGTAGAAAGAGTAATTGGACTTGCCAGAAACAAATACACTATATTGAAGGAAATCTTACCAGTCGACTTTTTGATGTGTGAGGCCGACAATATACCAACTGTGGACCAAATTGTTACAGTAAGTTGTGCTCTTACCAATTGCTGCAAATCAATCGTACCTTTTCATTTATACGGAAATTATGTAAAATCAATTAAATATTTTTGTAAATTATATAATATTTGTGAATATAACTTATAATTATCTTATATTAATGTGAAAAATTGTTTTTTTTCTCAGTTTTAGTTTTTTTCTTTTAAATTACTTTTAACTTCTTTTCTTAAATTTCTTCTTTTCTTTGTTGTTATTGTTGCCTTTAGATATTTTTATGGGTTGTTTTTTTTTTAATTTTTTTTTTTTATATATATATATTATCAAACACCCTATATATATATATATATATATATATATATATATATATATATATATATATATATATATATATATATATATATATATATATATATATATATATATATATATATATATATATATATATATATATATATATATATATATATATATATATATATATAGGGTGTTTGACAAAAACAGAATTATCCAATGTTGAAATCAATGTCTTCAGTAACCATTGCAGTGGAAATAGCGGCTTCACCAACTGATGTAGTAGTACTAACTTTTTCAAGTATGGAAGGTTGTGCTCTCGAACCGTACTTTTCTAGGTCTACACAAACCCAGGGGTACAAGGAAGATGAAAACCTAGGAACGTAAGATTCAACAAAGACAGGTATTATTGACAGAATACTTGGTTTAACACCAGTGTCATGCAGAATTTGAAAAAAATTGTTCATTTCCGTAGCGTTGGGTGGTTCTACAAACGGAAGAGGCAGCAATTGATATTGTCTAACAGGTGTCTGAGATAATTTACTATCAAGAATTCTTTTCATGTTTGTTGCCGATGTAAAATTAATGTCTTTTAGCCTAGAATATTTTACTTCCTTTACATTTGATGGTAACATCCAATATGCCGCTTCTTCAGTAACAGTTCGGCTCTTTTCTAAGCGCACAGAAGCATCAATTGCAAAGAGCGTGGCACTGACATGAGTACATGTTTCAGCCAAGCCTGCCATACAGTTGCAGTGTGCAGCTAAAATATTTCCACTCTTTTCTGCAATAATCCAAGGCTGTAGTGGTGCCTTGCTGATACTCTGAGAGTGTCTCACCTGAACAAAGATATGTATATATATATATACATATATATATATATATATACATATATATATATATATATATATATATATATATATATATATATATATATATATATATATATATATATATATATATATATATATATATATATATATATATATATATATATATATATATATATATATATATGTATATATATATATATATATATATATATATATATATATATATATATATATATATATATATATATATATATATATATATATATATATATATATATATATATATATATATATATATACATATATATAATTTAAATGTAATATATAGCAGGAAGTAATCTTTTTAGACTCTTTTTTTTTTAGATCTATTTATAAAAAACATAATAAGGAACAAAATAAATATCTCAGTGATATTGATATTCCTTCAATAATACATTTATTTAGATATTGCATCAATAATACAAATATTTAGGCTCTTCCATAAATAAATTAATTGTAGGCATACAATATCTGTTAAACATATGTGCATACTTAAATTGTTGTTATTGCTAATTCATACCTTGCTTTTAACAATGACGCGGTTATTCACAACATAGCTTCCCAAATCAGAAACCCAACCGCTGACGAACTGGTGGTATGCATCCAGAGATTTGTAAGATTTCAATTCATCCATTGTATAGGCACTTTTTGTGTAGACGCAATAATTTACTATGTCTGGATAATCCACGGAAGGAAGTGATTTAGGATTTGTGTCCATATCGTTAAGTTTTAACTTATACGGGTCTACCCCACTTACAAGCTGTATTTTCGCAACATAGCGCATTGCAGCTGCGCCCTGTAATGTTTGATAATATTCCTCCATTTTCACAACAATATATACAGCTAAACACCTATCGTTGAAATACAAAAAAATATTTAATATAACGGATTTAGAAATAAAAATTCGATGACTTGCTGAAAGTCCTTTTTTGTGAAGGCTTTCATAGACATTTATTACTAGTTTTAAGTTTTTTGGGTTTTTCCTCTCCCACCTTAAAATCTTGAAGGCTTACTATTTTAACGGTTTCTATAGAAAGAAAAAAAACTACATTTTTGTTGAGTTTTTGAAACAGAATTTTCTTAATAGTTGAAATGTACTGAACAAAATTAAACAATCCAAAAAAATGTTGACTATATATTTTTTAAATATGCTGATTCACCCGATCCTAAGTAAAATTTGTCGATCTCATCGAAATAAAATATCTCTGTGTTTTCCGATCTCATCAGCCGTGTATTTGCCGCACCGCCACACATGTGATATTATTTTTCGATGTCATCGAGTTATGTATTTTACGTATAAACCTAATATAATAATAAGGCTGGAATTTCGTAGCGTTGGAATTTCGTAGCGAAGGTTTTAATTTATTTAAATGGCGTCTAGAAGTTCACGAAGCTTTCGAGCTCGAAGAAAAGTTACTATTAATGTTGTTGGAGAATACAAAAGAAAAGTTACAAAAAATTGGTACGGTTCTAACAATGCTGAAACTCAACCTTTAAAAAAAAACAAAGGTATATTTAAAATTAATTTGTACTTACATACATAAACAAACATTCTTATTAAGAATGTTTATTTATGCATTTGTTTATTAATAATTAGACACATTCAAGAATGTGTGTTTATTCAAGGTCTTAAATACAACATTTTTAAGAATCTTAAGAATGTGTTTATTCAAGATCTTCATTCATTCACATTCATGTCTAACTATTAATTAAGCAACAATAAGGAACATATATAAGGCTTTATATATATAAGGCTTTATATAAGGCTTTATATATATATATATATATATATATATATATATATATATATATATATATATATATA